GTTATTAAAAAGTCCAAACTTCAGAGTATGTCTTGGGGTCAATAAAGATGAGCTCTAACTTTACCTGACAAATCTAAAGTACTGTTACAGTAAATTAAAATGAAGATCAGACTTGAAGAAGCCCTGAGCAGGCAAAGTCAGTTAGGCTTCATTAATGACCTTAATCTTGATTTATTTGCAAACATAAACAAAACTTATCTGCTCAGAAGTGCTTAAAAAAAAAAAAAAAAAAAAAAAAAAAAAAAAAAAAAAAAAAAAAAAACCTAACATGAGCTATTTCTGTAAATGCCCGTAATAAAAAACCAGAACTGAAGCTCAAACCATCAGAAGCAGCCAACAAATTTATGTAACTGGGGACTTCTCAGCAGGATAGACCAAATGAGGCAACTTTTAACTGTAACCAATCAAATATTTCATTTCTGTTGTTTCCCTGTTCACTCTACAAAAGCCTGTCTCTTCCCTTCTTCAGCATAGGCGTTGAACCACTTTTGGTTTGAGCTGCCTGATTCATGAATCTGAAACTGATCCAATAGTCCCATCAATACTTTTTTTTAGATAAATATAGCAATTGATCCTTCTAATCTTAAAGCTTCAAACTTATGTTTGTTTTATCTGAGTATCTTCCACAGGAAAGGAACCCCAGACCTCTCAAAAAGTATCAAAGAACTGAAACTCACCAGATCATCACATGCAATGATATATTAGGCCCCTCATTCTTCAGGATTGCTTGCTTGCCCCTTCCTAGTTCCTGCTTTCTTACACATTGTTACATTTCTTCCCTGCTATATAAACCCCTAATTTTTATCAGCCAGGGAGGTGAAATTGAGACTGATCTCCTGGACAGCAGCACCCAATTAAACCCTTCTTCCTTGGCAATACTCATCATCTCAGTGATTGGCTTTCTGTGCAGCAAGCAGCAGGACCTAGATGAACCCCTGGTGTTTCAGTAACAAATCATTGTTTTCAGTAACAAATCATTGTTTGCTCTTTAAAATAAATGCTTTAAAATTGTATTGTGCTCCAGTTGATCTTTTAACAATACTCAGTATTTATACCTAAAAGACCATATTATAATTAAAGAAAAAAATAAAAACACATCTTATGTGTCTTACGTAGTATATCATTGGAAAATGATCACGGTATTTTACATTTTCTACCTGACACTAAAATGTCACTAATGTCTCTTCTCCAGGCCTGATTCATCAGGCCCAGCAAGGTGCTGGGCCCAGGGCCCACAGCTCTTCTAAGGGCCTATGAAAAGGTTTTAATTTATTTTAAAAACCAGAAGACAATAAAACCACCAACTTTTAGGTGGTGGAAAACATTTTAATATGCACTATGAATAATTTCATCTTTAATCAATATGTCTTAAAATACATTTTTTATGGAAAAAGTATGGGGATCCAAAACTGCCTAAAGCCCACGGAAGTCACAATACATCTCTGCTTTTCTCCCCACATTATTTTCTCCATGTTCCAGGAATTTTGTTGTCAGTCTCAGCCTTGCTGTTCTGGGAAAGAAAAAATAAGAGGAGGAGGAGGGAAGCCACGGCTCCTGAACACTGCCCGTGTGCCCAGCACAGTGACTCCTATTGTGTAGTCAGCATCTCACTGGGGAGGACAGGTGAGTCTTCAAGAAGACATATATAATCAGCCAAGCTGCAATTTGATCACTGATCTTTAAAAAACTAGCCCCCAAAACATAATGTCAAGCAATGGAAATGGCTATATTGATGGATATCTTGATTCAGATGTAAATCAGGATACATTCAAATGCCAAATGTAGTGCTCAAGGTCCCCCAATATGACTGGCCACTGCACAGTCAAACCCTTGGATACAGGGCAGGCAGTGTGCACAGAAGAAACCCAGAGCCTTCTTGGTGATGATTCAAGCTGCATACTCTCTCTCCTCTTTTCATGCACACAGTTTCACTCTCTACTTAAAGTAAAACATCCCAAGAAGCTCCCTCTCTGCTTTTTCTCCCTCCCACTATCCACCTTGACTTGAGACTCCACTTTTGCAATGTCACAGTCTGCCGACTAAACACCAAACACCAGGTCCCCATGTGCATGTCAGCTCTGCAAGAAGCTGCATCCTGACATTGACCCTCCCACCCATCAGCACATCCAGCAAGTGTGTCACCAGCAAGATCAATCCCACGCTGCTCAGCACCGTTAGAAACCAAAACTAATAAATCATTTGCCTGCTCTCGGCCCACAGGTAGTAAGTGTGGTTCAATGCTGGTAATTATTTAAAAAAATGACTTTGGGAGCAAAAAAATCAAAACATGGGAGTATGTGTCTAATAGAAAAGGCCTGCAAAGAGATTTGGGAGTTCTAATGACTCCAAGGAGCAGGTGAAAGATCCCAGCGCCTGACGGTAGCTGGGCAGTCCGGTTGACAGAATTGATTCTTTCTCCCACCCCAACACCGCCAGGCCTTGTGTCTGCTCGCCTTCAGGTCCCCTGTGCCAGGCGTGGGGAGGTGGGGGCTGGAGTATTCCCTCCTGTCTTAATGTGTTTGCAGAAAAAAGCCCCTACAAACCCATCAATTACCAAGACTGTCAGTCCCAGAGAAGGTGTTGTGACAGTGATGGGGTCAGGTAAAGCCTTAGGGGCTACAACGAGACACATTAAACCAGACTTTATGTCACCACCTCCTGTCCCCCGTTAATACCCCCCTCAAAGTATACATTTTTCTTTTCCCTTTAACTTTCACAAGGATGTTTCTGGTTTCTGCAAAAAGTAGCATGGATGGCATGTCTTTATTATTTCAGCTGTCATTCATTAGAGTGACCTATGCTCCTCTAGGCTCTGAGCTCCCTCTCTGTTCCCCAAACCCCCCAAGCATGAACGGGCTGGCTGATGCTTCCATCCTTCCTCCATTTCATAAACAGAACATCTCTTAAAAGTCTGTGAGCATCCTCCTGCTGGATGTGGGAGATAAAAGTCCGACCCTCCTCTCAAATTCCCTCAAAACATTTTGTTCAGTTGCTGCAGAAGGAGTTTCTGGTTGTCATTCAGAACTGAAAATTTCATGTCAGTTACCAAAAAAAAAAAAAGTTCTCATAACTTTGCTGGTGGAATATGGCCTATGCCCAAGCAGAATTCAACCATGGTTCCTTGGGACCCTGCAATTGAATGCCACCTGCAAACACTGTTAACCAAGGTGACTACACATTCTCCAGAAATGTATAAATATCCTTTGATGGCCCAAACAGCCCATGACTAGGTTAATTCAGCCCATGAATGAACTAAGTATGTAAAAATAATTCAATCTATTGTCTGACAGAACTGATCCATTACTGTTCACTGATTCAATAACTGTTCACTGAGTATCCATTCCGTGTTAGGGAACATGTGAGCCATTCGGGATACAGAAAAAATGTTCCATTTCCAACTAACTTCAAGAAAATCACAACCAAAAGTTTCACACCTATGTAGACAGCTTGGGTGAGTTTTTTAATACAGCAAGAAAAGTGGAATTCATGTAAACAGATGAAAGGTATCCCATTAAAAAAAAATAGCACTAGAAAAAGGTATGTTCTCACCCCAGGTAAAAGAAAAAAAAAATTCTATAAGTTCATGCTGCAGAATTTACCTTGAGCTGTGAAAGATATCAAGTGGTGTACTTTAGAAATCTACTGAAGCCTACAAATTATATTTAAAGGCATGGAAGCAAAGCTAAGTGCTTTAGCTTCAGAAGAAATGCAGTCAGTGCCCTGGAACCAATTCCCAGGAGAATGTCATGGTTCTCACTACCCAGCGAGTTAGTCAACAAGTCCAGGCAGGGACGTGAATTCACCTCCCATTCTAGACACTGATGAAATAGCACTTTCTATTACTCTTAAATATGTTAATCTCCATTTCAAATATCTACAGAGTAAGGCCAGAGAGGGAGATGACAGATATTCTTATAATGTACTTATTTTTCTTTAAATACAGAAAATACTCAAATCCAGCATATATAGACTTACAATCACCACAAACTGATCAGCAGTTAGTTGATTTGCAAAGCTACCTTTACATGGCTTTTTGAGTTAACCTCATACATAGTTTGAAGATTTTGCTGTGTTTATAAAGTCTAAAATATTTCATAAGCTCCAGTAACAATTCCTCAAAACGCTGAAAACCAAACACGCACATACGTTCCCCTCCCTAAGGTCTTTCACTTCCTGGGGTCCAAATAGACAAGAGAGCCAGGAGCTTCCACTTAATTAGCACCTTTTTATATCAAAGTCAAGGTGACGTACAAAAGATGCAGTAATCATTTAATAGCTCAGTCAGCTGTGCCAAGCTAACAGATGATAAGGAACAAAAGGAGAAAGACAGAAAGACTCCTCCATTGCAGATGTGCCAAAGGAAAGCTGTGGCATGCAACCAAATAGCCCTGAGTGTTTGTTACCCGTGTATTACACAAATGACACCACAGAAAGGGAAAAAATGTTATTAAAAAGCAACAACGAAAACAAAACAGTATCAGGTACAAACCAATGAAAACATTCTCATGAAACGGTTCTCTGAGAATTTTCTAACATTTCTTCTTGGCCACCATCTGAACTCACCTGGGAGAGAACAGGCCATAAGAATACACTTGGGATTTAGCAAAAATAAATAAGAGGTTGTATAATTGACCACATTGCACATCTCACCTCTGGGGTTGGGGGTCCCCTGGTTCAAGACCCCAAGTGGGATACAAGGTCACACCCAGGGAGGGCCGTTCTCTCACCTCTCTGACCATCCAGGTGGAAATTAAAGATCCCAGGATACTTTTCAAAATAGCACAGGGGATCACCCAGCTGTCTGGACCAGCAGTCCACAGTCTCAATAAAATCCAACTTAATGTTCCCGGCTGGGAATGAGCCCTTCTCAAACATAGAGGAAAGTCTGTGCTCATGGACACAATTATGAAACTGTCCTTTGAGCACTGTAATTACTTTACAATCCACAGAGGACTTAAGATACTTGGAGAGTGAAGGATGCTATGAAAAAGTCGATTCGATTGTAATTTATAATTGAATTTATCCACAGAGAAACAAGCAGTCACTAAACAAAAGTATCTTCTAGGGAGTAAATTTACAGGTGTCGCTTTTACAACCACCGGTGGCTTAGCTCCAAGAAAATTCAAATTCCAAAGTGATAACTTTCCACAAAAACATAACTTCAGGGTTGAGTATTCATATTTAAAAAAAAAAAAGACATTCTCCCCAAGTAGCATTTTTGTAGCTTGATCCCCCACTAGTTTAATATATACTCACAGAAATAGAACGTGTAAAGAAGGTGATCCTAAACTGAGTTTCCATCACCTCCTTCTAGTTGATCTTTAAATAACAATGGTTAGATGTTACGTGTTTTGTTTAAAACAAATTTAAAAAGGTAAAACCTATACACTATATTCATTTTATATTAATTGATTACAAAGAAAATACTGAGGTAAACATTAAGAATGTTTTAAAGGGAAACAAATTAATATCAACATTTTATGCAGCAAAGCTCATATAAACGGCCATAAATGACACTGCTAAATTTAAACATTGTATCCATAATCCACCTTTCAGCCTATGATCTGAAAGATACTTCTGTAATATGTGGGCAAGCAGATTTCCAAGAGAAAAGTGTAGCAAAGGATAGGCTAATGAGTTGTTTTAAGGTATATAAAAAATTATCACTATATAAAAAATTATTCCAAAATCTGCCAACTTGAAACAACAAACATTTACTATATTATAGTTTCCCTGAGTTGAGATTTCAGCAGTGGCTTAGCTGGAACCACAATCAAGCGTCAGCAGGCGTGGGGTCCCAAAGTTTGACTGAGTATGGATCTGTTTCCAAGCTCACACATGCAATTGTTTAGAGGATTCAGATCCACACAGGTTGTTGGACTGAGGGCTTCAGTTCCTCCTGGACTATTGGCCAGAGGCCTCCCTCACTTCCTTCCACATGAGTCTTTCCATTGAGCAGCTCACAACATGACAGTTGACTTCCTCAATGCAAGAAGCAAAAGAGAAAGATGGTGAGTAATAGGGAAGGAAGTCAGAGCCTTTCTGTATCCTCATCACAGAAGTGATATCCATCACATTTTTAGTATTATATTTGCCAGAAATGAGTCACTTGGTCCAGCGTAGGAGGAGAAGGGATTATATAAGGTATGAACACCAGGAGGTAGGGACCAGTGGGGGCCATCTCAGAGGCTGCTTGCCCCAGGTAGGTACCTGTGTAGTGAATAATTAACTCTACCCAAAAGAACAGCAGTCTAGTCTGAATCTCTAAACCCTTGGAATCTCCTGAGTGATAGCAGTGCCTTTGTTATTCACAGCGGACCCCTCTTATGCTGATGAGGTTACTCATGGCGGGCCCCTGGAGAGTTTGTGCTCATAGATGACTCAGGGTGAAGGCTGGCCACCTTGAAAGCACAGTGAGATTAGAGGGTTGGGGCATTGAATCAGGTAATATCAGCTGGTCAAGGATTCTATCAAACATGCTTACATAATGAAGCCCCAGTAAAAACCCTGGACACTGATATTTGGTGACTGCTATGACCTGAATATCCCCCCAAAATTTATATGTTAAAATGTAATCACCAATGTGACAGTATTAAGACATGGGGCCTTTCATAGTTGACTCAGGTATAAGGGCAGAGCCCTCATGGATGGAATTGGGATCCTTATAAAAAGACTTGAGGGAGTAAGTTTGCTCTCTTCTACTCTTCTGCCTTCTAAGGTCATTGAGACAGTGTCATCTATGAGGAATGGGCCCTCACCAGACACAGAACCTACTGGCACCTTGAGTTTGGACTTCCCAGCCTCCAGAAATGAGAAATAAATATTTGTTCTTTATGCATAGTACATAGTCTATGATATTTTATTGGAGCAGCACAAAGGGACTAAGACAGTGACCATAGGCTGGCAACACTGCATATGGTCACACTTCAACAACAGGAAGGTAACACATCCTTGAGGACACTGAAGCTTTGCATTTAAGACCCTCTGAGTCTCAAATTCTGTCCCATGTGTCTCTTCCTCTGGCTGGCTCTCATTTATGTCATTTTCCTATAATAAAACTCTAATTGCAAGTATCGTGCTTTCTTGCATTCGGTGAGTCATTGTGGCAATTTATCAAACCTGAGGAAATCCATGGGAACCCCTAAATTTGTTGTTACTTTGTCTCGTGTGAGGATGGGCCTGGGGATTCCCAAACTTGTTAAGTGGTGTCAGAAGTCTTGGGTTGACTTGACAGTTTTGGAAGACTGTCTCCTTAACCTTGAGTTTGGCTGACTCCAGGTTAATACCTGAGAGACGTTTGCTGTTCCACTTATTCGAAAACTATTTTGTTTGTTCATTTGTTTGGGTGTCAGTCTTGCATCTCTTTTTGAAGACAATTTCCTCAAGAGATATCCTAGATAAGAAAGTAGGAAAACTATTGCCACGTTTTAGAGGACACCAGCCTCATCAAGTGAGCACTCCCAGCCTAACAGAGCTCCTTCTGGGGCTATGGTAACCACTGGGTTGGCACAGGAGAGCTGGAAAGTGAACATGACAATGATGTTCCCTTTATGAATCCCACCAAACACAATGGCAGCTAAATTAGTGAAATGTTTGTCAATTTACTGCCACAGTAAGTACTGTGAGATTTCTAGCTCGATGTGTTCTACTGAACATAATTTAGACAATATGAATTTTAGATCATTCCTTCAATTATACTCCCTCTTTTTAATAAATGTTTACTGAGAGCATTCTATCTGCCAGGCACTGATGTAAGGGCTTCCTAGCATGACTTTATTTAATGCACAAGAATTATTCCATGAGGTAGTTGTCTGTTACTGCAGTAACCTTATTTTACAGATGAGAAAAGTGAAGAGCCAAGAGATTAAGTCCATAAGAAAAATAAACCTCTAAATTCACATTGAAAAACAAGTTAACAGATATTCTACCAGTTCTCCTTAGAGTCACTTTTACTTGGAATATAAAATTGACAGGCACTAGACTCTGTTTTTTCATTGCCATGGATTATCACTGTAAATTTAATGGATTTTAAAGGCAACTGAAATTATGTGTGAAAGAAAGAAAAACTACTAATGTCTTCTTAGAACAGGAATTGCAAACTCAAAAGATTTGGGGACCAGGCAGATAATGTGAATGAATAAGGGAAGCAGCTAGGTGGGGCTTCACTCAGCCCAGGAATGCCAGCCCTTCTACAGAATGCATGAACCACGGGGACCCCATCACTGCCTGTGGGAATGAGGTCCAGCATTGCCTAACCACTGGCTTTTCAAGAAAAACCCAGGAACCTGAAGTTTTCTGAAAATAAAAATAATAAAAAATTAAAAACTTATTTTTAGATGTTGGCAACAAATTCATTTTTTAAACTCGAAGCTAAACAAAACACACCAGTGGTTCAGAAGTTTGACCCAGAAAAAATAACCAAGAGAACAACCATTATTTTGGCTCATTTAATCCCTGTCAAGAATCAAACCAGATTATCCTGGCTCCTGATTGGGGCCTACATGGCTTGACTCTATGGTGTGGGCCACTTCACAAATGAGCTCTTCACCTTCCAAATTTTGCAGACACAGAACTGACCAGCTGGAGACAGCTAAGAAAGAGATCACAGTATCATGAGCTCCTGAGGCTGGGAGAAACCTTAAAAAGACCTGATCCATTGAAGAAATCCTCCCACCCACATATCTAACAAGTAATTATCCAGATTATTCCAGAATCTTCTAAGGGATTAATCTAAGGGCTTCTTGAATCTAGGGAATTCATTTGAAGACATCTCATCTTCCTTCTAATGAGCTCCAGTCATTATGAAAGTTTTCCTAATACTGGCTTGAAGTGTGCCCTGCACTCACGCATCCTAGTTCTCTTCCCCTGGGTCCACCTGACTATACCACCCTCTTTGCACATGATATTTTCATATTCATAAACACCCTTTACACCAAGATTTATCTTACTTTAATTTAGCAACCTTCAGCCCTTCCAAGTAGGAACTCCTAGGTACTCTAGTCACCCTCTTCTGGGCTAGCCTCATAATGTAAGTCTTCCCTTTAAAACATTGCACCTAAAACTGAACATGCAGGAGATGAGCTCAAACTGCTTCTCAAATTTAAAAAAAAAAAAAAAAAGAAAGAAAGAAAATCCCACCAAAAAAGGCCATGCTATAGTTTGCCAGAGGGAAAACCCATAACACACTTTTTGGCCAACTTAGATACATGTTTGGAGAATTAGAATGAAATGGTCAAGTGTCTACTTTAAAATTTGAATTTGGTAATTTAGGAATTAAATTACATATTTATCCTGGATCACACATTCTAATAGAATAGATCAATTTAGAAGCATGGCTTTTCTGGCTGGGTGTAGTGGCTCATGCCTGTTAATCCCAGCACTTGGGGAGGTGAAGGCAGGAGGATCACCTGAGGTCAGGAGTTCCAGACCAGCCTGGGCACCATAGTGAGACTCCATCTCAACAACAACGATAAAATAGAAGCATGGTTTTTCTTTTCTACACACGGCATCAAAAACATTATTTGCTCTACCTTTGCACCTTTGACATCATCCCTGCCATCACTAGAGCCACCTTCAGAGTCACATAAATGAAACAGATTTCCAGAACATATCATTAGCTCTAAACTGCTCAAAGCATAGTACTTTTTTTTTTTTTTTTGAGATGGAGTTGCACTCTTGTTGCCCATGCTGGAGTGCAATGGCGCCATCTCAGTTCACCTCACCTCCACCTCCCAGGTTCAAGTGATTCTCCTGCCTCAGCCTTCCGAGTAGCTAGGATTACAGGCATGTGTCACCATGCCCAGCTAATTTTGCATTTTTAGTAGAGACGGGGTTTCTCCATGTTGGTCAGGCTGGTCTTGAACTCCTGTCCTCAGGTGATCTACTCACATGGGCCTCCCAAAATGCTGGGATTACAAGTGTGAGCCACTGCACCCGGTCTCAAAAGTGTAGTACTTTTTTAAAGTTTCACTGAAGTACAACATACATATACAGAAAAGGGCACAAATCATTCATGTTTAACTCATTGATCTTGCACAAAGTGAACCAACAGAACAACGCTTGCACTCATTACAATCCAGTGCCCCAGGAGTCCCACCCTTTTCCCCTTCAGAGGGAAACCAGTACTCTGACTTCTACCACAGCAGTTTAGAGGTGCCTGCTTTTGAATTTCATATAAGTGCTTTTTTTGTCTAGCTTCGTTTAGTCAATATTATGCTCGTGAGAGTCATCCATACCATTTCATATTGTAGTCACACTTGTAGTTCAAGGTTGAAGTTCACATCTGTGTGTGCTGCATTTGCTGTGTTGTTCCCCCAAACCACAAGTGCCTATTTGCATAATATTAGGCAGCTGGGCTTTTTAAATTCATCTCATAGGTTTATAGATGTGTGATTTCCACAATATAACCCCTCACTTGTTGGCTTTGTCAAGTGATCTTCAAAAATCAATAAAAGACTTGTTTTAATTTTGCATTTAAAACTGTGAGGCCGTACACCCAGGAATAATCACTAAATTCATATGAAATTTATTTGCCTTTTTTCGTTTATTCTATCAAGGGGCCTCTGTAAGCCTCAAAACTGGCATCAATTGAGGTGATATGTCTTGATAATACAATATATTTTTGTTTCCTAAGAGAGACTTGTTAGACCTTATAAGGTGGCTTTTTTTCTGTTGGATAATTTTTGGAGAAAAAGCTCATCATATATTCAGGCATAAATTGTGTTTCATATTAACCTCTTATCAACTTGGGTTCCAGTATTTTCTCTTATTGAGCCTATAATTAGCTAAAATACCCAGATCTTTTGTACATGAGTTCCTACAGAACTATTTATCTCCAGAGTATATTTATATTTATACTTAACTTATAAAGTAAGTATAAATTTCATATTCAGATCATCATATACCTCCATGTACATTATGCTTGGGATTTTCCAAAGCACTTTCAAATGTGTTATCACAATAATTCAGTGCAATAGCCCAGGGAACGAATTGTTATGCACATTTTATAGATATGAATATAATTATCACTGATAGATTTCAATTTGTTTGAAGGGATAATGCTTATGTTTTACAAAAGTCTCCTTCAAATGGAAAAGAATACTATCTAGCAAAATCAAAATTCATGATATTTGAATATTCCCCAAAAAATACAAAAAGTAAGGTAGCACACAGCAAAACATGATTGCCATAAATAAAAGCAAATTCAAATAATAATGAGAACCATTTTAGACCTGGTAAATGAATGAGACAGAATCCAACAGTGATAAAATTGCAGAGAAATTGTTAAATTCAATATTTGCTGGTAACACCATAAATTTGTAAAATTCTTCTGGAAAAGTAAGTTGATAATATGTATACTTTTAAAACCAAAAACCAATCCACACCCTTTGACCAAATATTCCCCTAAATAAAATTTATTCTGGAGGAAATTATATAAAAGAAGAAAATATGTCATTTGCAGGGAGATGTTCATTACAATAATAAAAAAAAGGAAACAATGTAAATTTATTTCAATTTTTTAAATAAAGCTTTGTTCAAATGAATGCCATCCAATCTCTGTCTCTCTTTCATATACACTCACACATACCGTACTTTGCAAATATGGGAGAGAATATTACTGTTTCTATATTCCTATTACATCTTGTTCACTTCCAATATTCCCAATATTGTATTTCACATGATACTTTCTCATTTGAATTTTCTTATCTAACCCTACAGTTAAGTTTGCTTTGGTCCAGGAACAGCCTTTTTGGCGAGGAAAAGGCTGACAGGTATAACATGATTTTCAGACTGCAAAACCAGATTGGAACTATGATCCTATGAATGGAGAGTCTGTGGCTGTGGCTATGCATTTACAAGTAAATTTTGTGATGAAAGTACATTTTCATGAATCTTCAGATAGCCTGAACAATTGCTTATCCAACAGTGCCACCTCTAAACATTTTGGCAGATCACAGGACACCATCCCCAGCAGGCATCTCTCTTGTAGTGTAAAATGCACGGTGGCTCTCTCAACGTCTCACTGATAGCGGCAGTGGGGAGGGGGAGAGAAGGCTTCATCTATGTCCTTAGCAAGTATCATCCAAGCCCTTGCCTCCGTAAATATCATTGAGACTTTAACATGCAATCTGATTTTCTTAATTTAGAGGGGAAAATATTCATTTAGTTCATATATTTCCTGAGATGTGTGGGAAATGCCAGGAGGTGGAAAACTGGGTATTTATGGAGGTTTTGCACTTTTTAAACAATCTAGTACCTTAACTTCCCCTCAAGGGAGACAGGAGAAGCAGCTCAGACCACTGAAACAGCATGCTAAATGTCAATGTTTGCCTTTCCAAATCCACATGTTTCTGGTCACTTCATGACATGTTTATTGGTCTTGACAGGCAAGGAATAGAACAGGAAACTGCAACCTTGCACCCATCTGACTGGTCTGTGGGCAGACCAGCCTTGGTTTCTGCTTTGTTGAGCTCCACATGGTAGCTAGAGGCCCTCCTGCCATTAACTCCCCTCACATCTGATTCTCTGTAAAATTTGTACCAGCAAGTCTAGGGCAGTTAAATATACGGCTTGGGTAATTAAGCAGGTTACAGATGAGTATTATTTGGTCTGCAAACAATTCTGTAAAAGGTTCCAGAGGGTTGTGTCTTGAGGCTTGTAGCTTATTTGTGGGGTTTTGGCAGGAAATGGCTAATTATGACACCTGCGCACGTTTCTATGCAATTGGGGCCTGGGGATTCACAACCTTGTGTACACAAGTCAGACTTGCCTCTGTGATGGGGAGCCACACAGCGGAGGACTGCAATCAAGCAGTGCCTTGTTAGCAGTGCTATGGAGGAAACAGCTCAGCTCAGGCTAGCAGCTTACCTCTATGCATTTCCCCAACAACCAATCCTAGGGATGCTGGCATCAAAATTAGCCGCTTACATGCTCCCTTATCCACTGCCGGTCTTCTGAAGGTGCACCAGTTCTTTGTGAAAACATTACTTCATAGATAGGACGTTATTGGAGAGCAACTTCTCTGTTGCTCTAGGTTAGTAATTCCACTGATGGCATCTGAGAAGCCTCTGTAAACCGGCAAGCAGAATTGGCAATGGGTATAAGCATGGAGAGAGAGCCATAGCTTTTATCTGTTTCTCAAAGATAACGGAGGGTGACTTTGCCTGATGTAAATGCTCCAATATCAGAGCTGTGTGGGATTGGTTGAAGGACTTTAGGAAACAAAATGTCACAAAACCACAGGGTGCCCAGCTGGAGCCATCTCCTCTTTTTCCTCCTGGATGTCCAGCTGACTCCATTTCCCAGCAGCTTTTAATGGTAGGTGTGGCCATGTGGCTGAGTCCTAGCCAAAGGAATATGAAAAGGAAGATGGCACCTGTTCTGGCCAAGGCTTTTAAGAGGTGACTGCCCCTCCTACAAATCCTTTCCCCTTTTACCAGTTCATGTAGAGGATGACAAGGGGGTAGGAGATGGTAGAACCATAAGTCAGAAGGAGTTTGGATTCCTGAGTCACCGTATGGAAGAAAGCTTCCCATCAACCAGGAACAGCTGCCTCAGACCAAGGAGCACAAAAATAAACTTCTCTTGAGTTGAACCATTCGTTATACATGTTTATACAGAGTAGGCTAGTCTACTGTAAGAGAGGGAGCAGCCTTGTCATATTTGCATTTTAGAATGGGCTGCACATTTCTAATATAGTTTTTCTAATGAAGAGAAACATAGGCTTTCACTGTACTGCAACACTTTTGTATCATCACTTTTCAAAGTGCCCGACACATCCCGCCATTCCCACAGCACCCAAATCTTAGACATCAAAAAAGCATTTTATTTATAGATCAGCTGCTGGGTCATCTCTTTCAGACTCATACCTAAGGATACAAAGTCTTCCAATATTATTTCCCTAAGTACAATATCCAATTTTTCCTTGAATATCTCTAGTTCTAGAGTCTTGACAGCTTCCTGGAATTATTCTACTGCCTGATTGACCTTCATGGTCCAGAATTTTCTTTTCCTCCATATCAGACTTTAGTTTTCTTTCTTCTGGCTTCACCAAGTAGTTGGCCAGACCTGGATGAATACGACCACTCCATAGTGAAAACCAGAAACACAGACTTAAATGGCTTAAATGAGCCTTTATTAAGTACACCCTAGGTGTGATCTCATTTATCCTCATACTAATCCTCCATTTGACAGGCTGTAAGACTTTAAATAACCCACCCACCATCACAACACAAGGGATGGCAGGCCTAGATGCTCATGGGCTCACAGCTCGGCCCAGCCCAGCCCAGCCCATGCTAATTGGCTGTCTAGGACTCAGCTGATAGAAGCATTGCATCACTGATTCATGCTCAAGTTCCTCAGTCATTTGGGGAAATAAACCCTTGAGTTCACTGAGTATTTTTACTTTGGTGGAGTCCACTTCCCAGAGCTGAAACAATCATGTTTTATAAAGTATTCTAATTCCCTTGAAAGAGACTCAGGAGAAATTTTTGTAGGCAGGAGGTATACAGAGACAGTGGATTCAAGAAAATCATTTTCTCATTGCTCAAATTTTCTCATTGCTCATTTCTCATTGAAAATCATTTTCTCATTTCTCATTAGAAAATATTCACTCTAAAAAGGAGCTGGGGAATTTGGGAAATGTTATATTGTTGTTGGCCAGGTCCCTCTGCTCATGCACTGAAGATCTGAGACGAGCAGCCTGGGTGTCTCTTGTCTGTCCTCTTCATTCCCTGCCCTTGCAGAAATGGGAGAAAGGGTCCCCAGCCCCTCCGTCACATCCTGGTCCTCCTGTAATCTTTGTTCAGTTGTATGCAGAGGACCTTTGCAGGGGGAGGGAAGGGGCCAGGCCTTTCTGAGCCAAGGCAGAAGCATCCCCACCCACACTGGTCAGGGCAGAGGCATGGGGTCTGCAAAGACAGGGCAGTCCTGAGCCAGCTGTAGCCACAACATGTCCAAGCCAAGTTCATCATCAGGGCTGGGTAATGAGGTCAATGTGAAAACAACTGGAAGGCACGTTCCCCAGGAAACACAAGCAGAGTGGAAACGGCCTGACCTTATGTTGCAGAATCCAAACCCATTGAGTCAATTGCTGGGAAACATGACATGACCTTTCAGATGCAGTGAACACCACTGAGAGAGCAGGCTACCCTGCTCTTTTCCATTTGCTGCCCCGGAGGCGGCAAGTCACTGGAAATAACAGCCCCAGCTCCAATCTGTGCTCCTTTGATGAAACACACATGTACAGCACCGAGCTTGACACTGGGGCAGAAGTATGTGTATGTACTTGTGTGTGCATACGGATACACACACACATATATATATATGTATTATGTGTATATACTTTAAGTCCCTTTCAACTTAATGTTTCATATTCCATAACAGAATATGAAGTCATTCTAGCTTTATATTTTAAATAGAAGTCTTTTGGACCCAGTGCATATTTTTGAGTGAGAAAATAACCTTTATAGCCTCATTCTCGACAGCAGACAGCGACTTCCTCTTTGAGATCAATTAACAAAGCTACTTGCCCCTCCAACACTGACCCAGCCCTGAAATAGACCCAATAAATCCTGCTTTTCTGCTTTCTACTGTCCTCCTATCTTTTCTACAGCTTATTAGAATCTGGACACAGAGCATGTTCTTCATGATTAGCAATTGCAAGTTAAAGGAAGGGACACAGCTCTTTCTGCAGAAAAACTGTTAAGTCTTGCTCTTGGGGTTCAAACCTTAAGCCAGGAATGCTTGCCTTGGAAGCCAGTTTGACAGATAAGCAGAAAAAACAGCTCTAGGGTCTCTGATGAGAAAGCTCCTTTGATGAAAGATTAGACAGGGGGCCACTACATGTCACCATAAGCCCCTCTGAAGACTTCATAATCATCCATAGTGCTAAATATTTTAACAGAAAAAAATTTCTTGCTGGGAAATGAAAAACGCACTTTACTAAGAGTCTGAAAAATATGATCCTACTTTTTAAAAAAGAAACTTAAGGTGAGGGTAGGGGTCCCAATGGGTAATTCGTACACTGTTTCATCCTTATTGCTGCAGACGAGCAGAAGCAGCATGAGTAGGCTGGCTAAACCTGGGTTAATTACTTGGATATTGCATATATTGAGTTCCCGAAAAGATAATGTATGCCAAGATTGCTCTCCTCATATTCTGTGCTCTACTTAAACTTGGAATGACAAATAGGAAAGCTGGGAGGGCTCCTAGGAGCTATAAAATATACTCCCTGTAGATTACAAAATACTTTAAGCAATCATTAGAAAATGTAATCACTACTTTATCATATAAAACTGATTCTCACTGTTGGAGGCTGATTTTTGCAGGTTTAATATAGCTCTAGGTCATGCTTTATGCATCACTCTGCAGAAATGCTTTGCTGAAAGTTTCCATCAAGGTTAGCTTAGCCATGAGGAGGTCGGGGAGCCTAGGCAGAGGTGTGGCCCTCCTTCCCACAGAGCTGGAAGAAGATCATAATTCTTGGACCCCTAAGAAGACTGAACTTTGGAGATGTTCCCAGTGGAGAAGTCCTACAGGTCCTGCTTTCTGTAGATAAACCCCATAAAATTTATCACATCAGCAAGTAATGGAATAGTCATGTGGAATGAAAGTTGCCCTTGAAAATCCCTTAAGTAGCTTGTTAAGTTAAGCAACAATAATCATGATAACAGCTAGCACTTAGTAAAAGCTTACTATGACTGGCACTATTCTAACCTCAAGATGTAGGTATAATGACTAGTTTCATTTTATAGAACACTGGAAGCCTGGCTCCAGAGCCCTTGCTTGTTAGTACATGTGGCTTGGTATACAGTACTCCATACGTCACTGTGCTTGCATAAAAATTGAATGTCTGATGAACTATGAAGAGTGAAAACTAATCCTGTATGTCTTCCAGTGATGCATTTTCTTTTCCCAATAATACCACTGGAATTGTCATTTTCCTCTTGTAGTTGAAACTGATCCAATTGTCCCATAGAGCAGATGTTTACAGTTTCTTTGAATAGACACAGAAATTGATGCTTCCAGTCTTAAAAATCCTGAGAAAGTTACATTTGTCTTATCTGAGTTCATTTTTCAGGAAATCAATCATCAGGCCTCCTAGAGAGTATCAAGGAGCTGAAATTCACCAGATCACTGTCAGACCCCTCACCCATCATGACTGCCTAACTGCCCACCTGCTTCCTATTGACTAACTTCTCTTCCTTACTGCTCCCTATTCCTGTTTTCCCACACATTGTTACATTGATTCCCTGCTATATAAACTCCTAATTTTAGTTGGTCTGGGAGATGGATTTAAGACTGAGCTCCCATCTCCTTAGCTGCAGCACCCAGTCAAAGCCTTCTTCCTTGGCAATACTCATTGTCTCAGTGATTGGCTTTCTCTGTGGTGAGCAGCAGGACCTAGACCAAACCCCTGGTGTTTCAGTAACATAGGGAGGTCATATAGTTGAACTTGAGTAAGTTAGGTGTCCATCCAACATGATTCTGTGTAAAGTAAGTTAGGTGTCCATCCGACATTACACTGTGTGTAATGTGATTTTATTCAGTTGGGAATAACAGAAGTGGAGAATGCCTGGGAAAAAGCTACATCCTTTCCCAAACTGAGACAGTGCATGAGTAAAACCTAAACCTGGAATCAGAGACATAAAACATTTATACCTGCCAAGAACAATCAAAGATATATTTAAGAACTTCTTCTTCCATCATAGACTTAAATAACTAATTCTAGAAGAAAAAGGTTTGTTGGTCAATTGTTGGTCAATGGGAAAGATATGCTATGATTCTGAAACATTTCTGGGAGAGAATGGGGTTGCATATCCTCTAATAAATTCACCACACAGCCGTGCCATGCCCTTCAGCCTTAAAGGCACATAGTCCTGATTTTTTCAGTGCCCATATTTTGTCTCCAAAGGCCGACTCACTATAATTAAATTAATAGAGGCTAATACATAAGCCAATGCCTATGAACTAATGCCCTTGGTTTGACTGGACTATTTTTTGGCCACAGCCAGCATATTTTCTCCACTTAGGAGAGAATAGTAAATCAAATTTCAATCCAAAAGGGGCTTAAAGAACATTAAATCAGAGCCACAATATGTACCAGATCTGAAGACTGCAGCACAGATGAAGTGCTCGAGAGACTTTTCCCCACCATGGAAAGAACTTTACCAAGGAATATCACCCTAAATTCCTGCCTCCCAGTCCACAGCCTTACCACCCTGAGAATTGATTTCCTCCCTAACGTACATATCATCCACCACCAGAATGCAAATAACTTGCATGCAAAGTTTTAATACCTAATAGGGTTGAAAATATACCCACACTACACTCAGATGTGCAGAGAAAATGCACTTAATATACTTTCCTCCTGGGTAGCAGAAAAACATAAGTGTGCCAATTAAGCATTCTTCTGTCTGTTTGGGTTTGAACAATCTTCTCTTGGATTAAATAGCCAGTCTATGCAAAGTTCAACCCTCAGGCAAGAAGCTTTTTTTGTTGTCTCCCTAGGCAAATGTTCATCCTCTTCCCTAAGACGGTGACTGAAGGTGTGAGGGGAGCTCACTGTGTCTTCCCAAGCATGGGGATGGAAGGAGGAGAGAAGGTCCTTGGAGCTATAGTGTCCTCTGGATCTTCCTTGGCCTCTGCTACTGAGTGGCCGACAGCTGATCATCAACATATCAGTGGTCTCCAGAGTGTAGCTTTTTATCCTCAACATGAGGAACCTCCCCTCAAGAGTCCGTGGTTTACAGCCAATCACCACCAGGTTCAAAGGCCCAGCCACAGACCTGCACCTTCCATCACTGGGGGACAGAAGTTGCATCCCACACACCACCATGTTCAAGCCAACCTCACTTATCTAGCCCCCTGCTGCAAACACTGCTGTACTATCAACATACATCATGTTGAAAGTGACAGAGGACAGGTATATTCTTAGAAGACAAGGCAGGCAAGTATTCAAGACCTCCCCTATACCTATCTGGATGTTTCTAAAGCACTGCTGCCACTCTCCAGGGGTCGTTCTTTCCCTTCTATCCCTTCTTTACCACATGCTTCACTAAGCCAAAAGAGCCAGGCTTGGGCTTCCCCACCTCTAGGGCAGTGAACCTCATGCCCCAGCCTTCATAAGTAAAGGATGGCCTTGCTCACAGTATAGAAAAACTATGCGATCTGAGGTCTCCAAATCTGGTGCTAATTCCACTTAAGAATTTGGGAAAGACTTTTTCCTTCAACAATGCCAAGAACTGCAAACCCAAGTCTAATTTGAAGGGCAAAGCTGAGCAGTGACTTATTTGATTAGGTATCCATGCTTCCCCTGTGCACCTGAGAGCCATTGCTCAGCACGTAGGAAGAACAGTGTTACAGAATAAGAAATTACAAAATATAGAATAAGAAAACTGTTTCACATTCAACAATGGCATGTTTGGTAATGCCTGCAGCTTGGATCTTTAGAAGTCTAGCATAATCAGACTATAATGCAAAGTGATAACTTTTTTTTTGCGGCCTTGCCATATGCCAGGTACTAAATGAGGTTATTTATATCATTTCATTTAACTCACCAACCACCCTAAAAGGTAGATATTATTATTACCCATTTTATGAATGAGGTGACTGGGAGCTCACCCAAAATCTTACCATTTAGAAAGTGGTAGCACTTGATATTTGAGGCTGGGTCTGTCTGTGTCTGAACCATGTGCTCTTGCCACCACGTGAAGCTGCCTTTTCATGGGATCATCTCCTCTTCCCTTTGGGTTCCCAATAACCAAACAACTAATAAATGAATCAAGCCTGATTGCATTTGAACTTCTGACTGTTTCCAACCAATGTGGCAGAGAACCAATTTAAATACAACATGTTCTGGGAGAACATCTCAGACTGGCACAGGCAGTCACTGCCTATGCCCTGAACATCTGTCTCCACTGCTGTGCCAAGGGGCTGGGGACACCCAGCAGGGCTGAGCTCCCCAGATAATGTGCTGGAAGGAGGAGGATTCATAGAGTTATTTCTGTGTCACGCTTTCCTCACTGTGCAGTGCACAGAAGCACAATTTACATAGGCCTGTAATTAACAATACATCAAGATAATCCAGGGGACACTGGAAAGCTCACCATAAGAAAGAGGAACATGAATGGGCGTTTTCAGTGGTCTGAAATGGGAATGCCCTCCAGGTGGCAAGCAGAGTTTATTATTGATCCTAACTGGGCCCCCAGTCAGCCAAACACTACTTTTTGGAGGTGCAAAGATATATTGGAGCATTTGTAGCATAAAGTATATCATAGAGGAAAATGGAAGAAAAATATGCTGATATGAACCAAGGAAAATGGCCATACTGTGGTTTGTCTTGTTGTGAGACTTATCTTTTGATTGTTGCTTCTCTCTTTGCCCTTCCAGAGTGAACACAGAATGAGGCAAAGTGCACACACTGAGATTAAAGGGTCTCAGGCTGGAGAGTTCTGACTGGCCCTGGGCCAAGGCAACCCTCAGGTTGGAGCAGGTGCCATCAGAGGCCCGGTTGCAGAGATGAGTGCCCAGGATACCAGGAACGATGTGGGACTGAGGGCAGCAAGGGCCAAAACACCTGCAGCAGCCAAGATGGATCCGGACTGGGCAGAGGAAGCAGGAAGAATATAGGCAGGGGCAGCAGGAGGTAGGCCTCAGAAAACCACCGTAGGGTGACCTGTGACCTGGAAGCGTAGGCAAAAACAAATAGACAGGACGGAGATGGAAACATTGGCTCTCCCAGGCAGCCACAGAGGAAGAGAAGCTCTCCATGCCCACTCCCCTGCTCCCTGGCCAGGGTCTCTGCCCCGTCTCAGAATCCAGGGCCAGCAGGGGGAATCT